CAAATTACAAAATGTAAGATTTGGCAGATCATCAATTCACAATCATCTCTCTTGGTCTGTCTTCATGTAAATACTTTTATTATTTTAATAGCTGTAAGAGTTCATAAACTATATGTAAATCTCTTCTATAATTCTTACAGTGAATTCATGTTATACTAGATAATGACACCACATTATTTTCTTTCAATTTTCTAAAGCAGATCTGTCTCCATAATTGTCTCAAAATTGCTATAATTCCACAAATTATCCTCATTCTTTGACCCTTCCACTGATTTGAGCGCAATCCAACAGGCAATATTGTAGAGTAATACTATAAGGTAATATAAGGGAAAAAATAAGAAAAGAAGTTTTAAGATAGTTAAGTAGTTACTGTCAGCTGAAAATAGAAATAAACATGTTACATATTTTAAATACATAAACTCTAACACCAATAATGACTGGCAGTATAAAAATAGTGGTTCAATATAAAGCATCCTACACTAAGAGCTGAGATTCGAGTTTTGACTTGCTTAGGTGCTAACTCTTCCCATGACTTCATGTAAGACGTTTAGTATTTCCAGCACTCAGCATACACTGTTGAATGAAAATCATTATATAATTAGAACCTCTCCCCTCACTACATGAAACGATAACTCTTCAGATTCAGTTATGTTCAGCAAACAACAATTGTGCGTCCAATGCATTGGGCTTACCCAGTGGCTCAGACAGTAAAGAATATGCCTGTGATGCTGAAGACCCAGGTCTGATCCCTGGGTTGGGAAGAACCCCCAGAGAAGGGAATGGCTACCCACTCCAGTATTCTTGCCTGGTAATGAGAAAGACCAAGTACAAGAATAAAGAGCATAGCTTAATAATTAGCAAGATTTCTAAACTTGGATTCTGACTGGAACTATTTCAATTGAATCCAACAACTGAGTGTCCTCCTGTCTGTGCAAGTGGGAAGATATCTCAGGCAGAGAAAGAGCACCAGGAGACCGGGGGATTACGGAAAAAACACTGCATTCCCAAACAAAGAAAACAGTATAGCTATATTAAAAGTGTGGGGGTACAAGGGCAGAGGAACAGTGCCAACAGTTGTAGTGAGAAATGCCAGAAGAAACTAGGAGCAAAGTTACACAGGCTTTGTAAGCCGTATGGGTAACTCTGGGCCTCATTCTAAGAACAGTGAGGAATAATTAAAGGGTTTAAGCAATGGTACGACACGATTTGTTTTCCAGTTATGAAAACTCTTTCAGGCTGAAGTGGATAGAATAGACAGCCATGGACAAGACTGGAGACAAGGAAACCAGTTAAGAAACAATTCTGAGACGAAGGAGGCCTGAATTAGAAGGCAGTACAACCGTAATAAGAAGTAAGACTTCTAAAGTCATTTGTGTGTATATGTGTTAGTTGCTCAGTTGTGTCTGACTCTTTGCAACCCCACAGACTGTAGCCCACCAGGCTGCTCCATCCATGGAATTCTCCAGACAAGAATACTGGAGTGGGTAGCCATTCTCTTCTCCAGCGAATTTTCCTGACCCAGGGATTGAACCTGGGTTTCCTGCATTGCACGCAGATTCTTTACGGTCTGAGCCACCTGAAGTCACTTGCCTGGATTCAAATCTCAGATTTTTCACTTATCCAGTTGCTTACTATCTATACATGTTTCCCTATCTATAATCCAGAGGGAAAAATCCTCACAGGGTTGTTGCCAAGGAACAAATAATACTCACACAACAGTTAGCATGTTGTTTGGTACATAGGAAAAATGCAAATGTTTACTATCATTAATGTAACATTAATGGGGTGGAGAAATGAGAATATAACCAAAAGATGCTTAGGAAACAGAAATTGACAGTTAGGGTACAGGAAAAAGGGGAAAGGAAAGAGTGGACAAACTCTATATATAGTTTCTAGCTTGCATAGTAGCACTATTTGATAAGATAAGAAACACAGAAATTAAACTGAAACACAGAAACTTTTTGAAGGTTTTGAAGGAGAAAACAGTGTTCACTTTTTAATAAATTGATTGGGAGATTCCAGTAGGCAGGTGTATCTATCACTCTAAAGTGAAGCAAAGAGATCAAGGCTGAAGATCTGAGAATGAGAGAGACAGATGGTAATTAAGTCCATGGGGGTTGATGAGAGCCTTTAGAGAGAGAATACATAGAGCAAAGAAATGCTGACAAGGTAGAAAGGTGAAACACCAACATGTAAATGATGGGCAGAGGAAGAGAAACCTGCAAAGGACACTGAGAGAAAAGGGGCAGAGGAATAAGAGAAAAATAGTGTCAGAACTCAAAAGCCAAAAGAAAAAAAGTGTTTCAAACTAAAGGGAGCACCCAAGAGTGTCAATGGAATAAGGTAAGAACTGAGTTTTTGCTGGATTTAGTAACAAAGCTATTCATTCACATAATAAATAATAAATGTGTCAAACATTGTGCCAGGCTCTGGAGATACAAAGGTAAATAAGACAGAACCTTGCAAACAAAGACTCTTAAGTCTTGAAGAAATACAGTAAACTAATATACAGACAAAATACTCACAGATTGTAACAACAGATAAAGTGACAGGATCAAATAAAAGGCAGAGACCAGCTTTAGATAAGCAGCTTGGGTGGGCATCTCTCTGAGGAAAGAACATTTAAACTGAGACCTAAGGTGGGAAAGGGTTTAGCTTAGTCAGAAAACTGAAAGACACCCTAAGGCTACAGCATAATGGTGGAAGAGAGATGGAGAGAAAAGCCAGACACGTTTGTAGATTATGCTAAAGGCATAGTGAGAAGTTTAGATGATGACCTGTTGAGCATTAGTAAGTAGGGAAGTGAAGGTTACTCTAGCTAACAGCACTGATTAGTTTGCTTTTCCTCGTTTATACTAGTCTTAATAATCAGAAATAGGACATTATACCACTCTTCAACCATTAACTGTTTATTACAATATCAGAAGAAACTTTCCTATTTTAATAGGTACTACATGATTACAGCATGTTACCCGTTACATTAATTTACCTATTTTAAACTTCTTCCATAGATACTTCTGATATCTACTTAATTCTATCACTAAATTAAAATATAATTTAATTTATCTGAGATTACTGAGATTAATCTGAGATTACTCATTTTTCAGAATTTGAATGTTTTATAACAAGAAGACTCAGCAAAGTGTTACTAAATTGTTATGGGCCAATAACACACACACCAAAAAAACTGATGGGCTTCATCAAAAAAGAAAAGAAGGAGACTATATTCTGTAGTATTATTATATTCCACAGTTTCAGGTTCCTAGTTCCTTAATCTATGCATTTATATACATGTATATGATAAAGAAAACCTGATGCAGAAAACTTTGGCTTGATTCTGAACAGCCAAATTATATTTCATATTGTTTTTTCATTTCTTTATCTGCAAGAAGGAGAATTCAGAGCCCTTCCATATTTCACAAAGACATCAAGAGTATAAAATGCTACCACTTAATGTCTATTGTCAGACAGTCAGCTAGGCCCACTACATAAATTACTTTTTATTGTCCTCATACTCCAAAAAGTAGGTATTCTTCCAATTTTAAAGATGAAAAAACATGACCTCAGTGAGCTCAGGTGACTTGCCCAAGACTGCAGAGCTAGCCCAATCCTATAATCTTGAAAACTCTCAGACCATTAACAGATTTGGGTTCCTTAAAAAACCCTATCAGATATGAGATATTAAATCATAAAGATGAATTTTTAAGTGATAACAAATGGTATTTTATTTAATTTTTAACAAACCATATATAACTTAGAAATACTTGCCATATACACCATTCCTGTATATTTCTTCCTTTGGCATAACTTGATAGTTTTTTCTTAGTAATAGATAAAAAGAAGATAGAAAAGATAACAAGAATTACTATTCTGGGTCCAAAAAATTGACAGTTAATCCTTAATACACATATTAAGTCCAATGAACTACTAGTAATTAACTGCCTATTCTCACAAAACTATGTCTCTCAAAATTAAAAACTACAAATGGCCTAAGGTTTTCCTGAATCAGAAAAATCTAACCTCTGATTAGAACCTCTAAATGTCACTAATTCTCTGAAATTGAAAGGTAACAAATTTGAATTAAAAGATCATAATTTTTCTCAGCATAATCAATACATTTACTGAATTGTGAGCTCTTCCTACTAAGACTTTTCAGGTAGCTATGTCATCTACCAAGATATTGTCTGAAGAAGTCTAGATATTTAACAAAAAGAAACTGCTGCCAGATCATCTTTATTTTCCTTAACAAAACACACATAAGAGCACAAAATTCACTTATAATATCATCATTATTTTACAAATATAAATAATGTTCAAAATTCAAGTACAGTCAAGTGCAGAGATATTTCCTATATGTTAATACGTAAACATAAGCTAATTATATACATCAGGTACCTCTGGCCCAGCTGCAAGATAAGAGACATCAAAAGTAACACTGCACTTGACTGTTCAACTGCATTCTTACTGAGAATTCACACAAATGCCTATATTGTTACTGACATTTTCATACCTCTTAATGTAAATGCCTAAGTAGATATTTTACCCCCTGGCAAATATCTCAAGAGTTAAAATTCTATCCATTTTAATAATGAAGTATTAAAAATCTTAATTGAGTTTCATTCCTTAAAACAAATGCTATTAGAACTTTTTCCTAACCAAAGTTCTTCCTATGCCAAATGTATTTACAGGTCACAAGTAGAAAACAAAACTTCTCTTATATTTGTTTACTTTTAGAACAGAAAAAAATACCTAAACGTTGCCTAAAGAGTGTGGGTTTCTGTACATTCAAAAGAATTCTACTTTACTGACACTACGTGCTTTTAGTTTTAATACCGAGTAGACATAACTTTGATATATTGAAATAGCTAGGCAATCTGAAATTCAAACGATACCAAGCATGTCTTTGAGGGGGCAAAAAAAGAGAAAGCACCACCTAAAAAAGCAATAACTGACATCAGCAAGACTACAAATATCCAGTTGAAGGCACATGGAAGCATCTACTACATTGTCAAAGATTCTCCACTTAGTTCAGGATCAGGAACAGCATCAGCTCTGGGAACTGTTGGCTTGTCCTCACTCATTGAGGTTTCTTCATTCTCGGTCTCTTGTTTCTCCTCTGGTTCCTCTATGCCAGATGCTTGTTCAAGCACTGGGTTTGTCTGCTCCGTATCTGGTATGTTGTCATCTGTCTGTTCTGTACTATTATCTAGAACATCTTGTTCTTCTAAAGATTCTGAAAAGATAAAGAGTAAAGACTTTAGGAATAGCCAATAACTACTAAATAAGATAAGCACATGCAAACAGAGACTAAGAAACAGAACAGTCTAACATTATCCTTAAAATATATCTTTTTAATGTACTTAAGTACATCATGCATGCATACTCAAGTTGCTAAGTCATGCAGATTCTCTTGCGATCCCATGGACTGTAGCTCACCAGACTCTTCTGTTCATGGGATCTTCCAGGCAAGAATACTGGAGTGGGTTGCCATGCCCTTCTCCAGGGGATATTCCCAACCCAAGGATCAAACCCATGTCTCCTGCATTGGCAGGCAGATTCTTTACCACTGAGCCACTTTGGAAGCCTATCCCTATAGCATACCATATATGAAATGGTATGAATGAAGGAAAAAACAATTTGGGGGAAACATACCCATAAACATAATTTTACCTAAAGGTCCATCGTTCACAAAATAAATGAACTTTCAGAACTTTCCTAAAGATGGATTTGAAAGCTGAATGTCCGAATATATCAAAATTCCAATAGAATTATGTATTATAAGACAACAGCCCAGCAAAAACAGCAAATGCGCTAACACCCAGATTATGTTTCCTGAAGGAACTAGTCTCTCTTGCATCCAGGCAACACTGTGACCAATGTGTAAATGTGTACCTTTGTATGTGTGCATGTGTGTGTATAGGTGGTGTGATTTCCCACACTGATTTACTTTACATCTCTATTATCCATGACGGTGGCGGTCTGGATTCACCTTTTCCAAAGTCAAGACAAGTCTTCCTTCATCCCTGTGCAAGACAAGTCCTTGGGATTTAAACCTTTGGGTCAGAATATGCTACATACCTTGAATGCTAGGGAGAGAAAGGGAAGAGTCTTTTGCCTCTGACTCCATTAGCAGAGGCCAAGTAAGGGCATTGGTTCCTAACCTGAAAGTTTACTCCCTTCAAACTCTCTTTTGAGTTTCATTAAACTCAAATCTCTTAATAATAATTTAATAATAATAACTTTAATTCTTCAAAGTTTAAAGAATAGGATAGGGAAGGAAATGACAGGAGCAGAGTTTTGGGCCACTCAATTTCCAAATCAAAGATAAACACCTAACTTGAGGTGTTTCTTTGTTTTGTTTCTGTAATAAATAGCAACTAATATTACTGCTAGGAGAAATATGGTTAAACTACATCAGCAAAGCAAATAAGGAGATTTTCATACCCTCACAGATGATCCCTTATAATACATTACAAATGCTATTGATTCAAAAATCTAGAGGACAGGCCAGTTTACACTAGTAAAATGTTCTAGTTTTGCTCCTTGTAGAATAGTAGCCCACTCCAGTATTCTTGCTGGAGAATCCCATGGACAGAGGAATCAGGTGGTCTACAGTCCATAGAGTCGCCAAAGAGTCGGACACAACTAAAGCAACTTAGCACATAGTATATGCCAGCATTTTGATAACAAAATTAATACTTTTTCAAGAAAATATGCACACCTGTTGACATGGAGGTTTTATAAATTCATGGTTTTATCATATCATTTTTAATAAATACAAATTATATCACATACTCTATGTGGAGTTGAAAAGAATTTTTTAACTTATTTTTTTTAACTTATTTTTAAACAAGATATTTTAGACTCTAGTTTATGGAATTAATTACAATCTCTTTCTCTCTTTTTATATATAGAACAAAAAGTCAAAACTGCATAGCTAGGGACATCCAAGTTAATGAGGTTTACTGTATGGAAAATTCATATGCTCACAAAAAGATGAGGAATGTTCACATGTCACAAAAATGCTATTTTTATTGTAAAAGGAACATAAAATGGCACTGTGCACCACTTGGAATCTTACAAAAATCCAAAGTTGAAAAGCAGTAGGTCGAGTTGTGTTATACGAAGTTGTGTTATATCCAGTGGTCAAAGGAAAAGCAGAAAGTGAAATGAAACTCTATGGACATGTACAGACCATTTCTACTACAAGGGCAAGCAAACTCTTCAGTGGAAAACTTCAGGAGTCAATAAGTGAAAGTCACTCAGTCATGTCCAACCCTTTGCAACCCCATGGAGAACAGTGGAGTGGATAGCCCTTCCCTTCTCCAGGGGATCTTCCCAACCCAGGGATTGAACCCAGGTCTCCCGCATTGCAGGCGGATTCTTTACCAGCTGAGCCACAAGGGAAGTCAATAACCATTTGTAATTCTACCTTCACAGAATTTATCCAGGGTAGAATTTTAAGAGTCACGGTTTTCTACAACTCTCTGGCCATAGAGCAATACTTACTTGCCAAGAATTTTACAAGTCGTTATGATTTAGTAAACCCTCCAATAAAGTTACATGAAATGAAAAAATAAAAAGCTCAGAACTCAGGACTCAACTCATCAATAAACATGCTTCAGTGAACATGGGCCCACATAGTTTGTTATCTGTTTGACAGATTAACTCAGTATTAAACAGGAGAGGTACCAAAGTTTATGATTTATCATATTAAAGCTTTGTAATGTAATTATTTTCAGAAACAGACATATCCCCAGTCAAATACAATGCAAATTTAAAAATTCTGGGATCTTTAAGAAGCAGTTAATACAAAGAGAAAAATTATAATACTTAACTTTTTTTAATGTCTATAGAGGTGAATTCTAAGAAATACCATGTGAATTCTATGAAAGTCAATTATTTTCATAATCAGAAAATAGCATTATATACAAAACTTGCTCATTAATACTGTATTTCAGAAAATATACAAGAGACTAAAAAATGATGAAATGATGAATAGGGTTTGAGAACAAAAAGCCTATTAATGACTACTTTTCTTCCCCCAGGTTTATCTGTAGAAAAGTAATATTAATAGCGGTTAATGCTACAAAAATTTGGTATGTGTCATGATACCTATAATGCAGATATCAGCTAGTCTAAACAACATAAATATTCAATGTATGGATGTCAATGTCATTTCGTGAGAGGTCATCCCAACAAGCTTTAAGTGAACTAGGTGCAGAAGATTAACAGAGATTTAATTACATACCAGTTTAATAACTAAACCACAGAACTTTATAAAAAGATTATTAAATATATTCCAAAAGTACTTACTGTATTTCTGTGGGAGAGTATCATTTGCCTGTTCTAATAAAAACAGTAAATTTTTTCTGTGAAGCTATAGTTTATATATAATAGCTTGGTGGTATAAAATTCATTACAGTAGATGTCAATATTTGGGCATAAAATACCAAAAGAGAAACCATATTTTATGTTCACACTAATTAAACAGGTCTACTCTCCCCTGTTCAGCACCAGCTTAAGACTAAAATTAATACAAGGTTACCCGAATGACCTAATTCCATCTGTAAGAAAATTTTTAAAATCACCTTTGACAACTGTAATGCCAAGAAAACAATCTATCACAATGTGATAAAACAAAAATGACCCATGGGATTTGTTCCTTACCTGACTCCTTTCCCTTCTACTCTCCTACCCCAATATTCTTGAGAGAAAAGCTTTTCCCACCAAATTGTAACAATTGGCTTCCGGTTGTTTGGGTAAAGCTTCAATTCACCTAGATAGCTCAACCTCATAAAACTGAATGTAACTGTACAATGAACACCACCACTGCCTCACCTATAAACCACAAACATGCAAATCATTTAAGAAGACCATCGTCCCCTTAGGTTTTTATTCTAGCTCTTGAAAGGATAATTCTCTAAAAAAATTAAAGAATAGTTAACAAAACAATTTCATACATCTCCAAAAGAAACACATAATTTCTGCAGCAAAATACATGATTCTATTTATATTATGTATTCCAAAACTCCTAATATTTTGGTGATTTAGACTCTTACTTCTTATTCCTTTTTACAATAACTTTAAAAAAATTTTGCCTTGCTAACACATCAGTACCTACTATATGTACAGACTATAAAACTTACCCAAAAGACATTTGTTAAATTAAAATGGACAATTTGTCTCTAACTCACAGATTTTAAAGTTTTTTAAAGATTTTTCTGCCTTAAGAAAAACAGCCAACTTACATTCAAGGACTAAAGACATGAATTTCATCCCACAACGCAACTTAATGGCTCAATGAATAAAATTCAAATAAATGATAACCACCTATGAGAAAATAGCTCATTTTAAACATAAAAATGCTGTGTAATTATTTACCATGTGTGAACAAATCCATTAGATGAATCATTAGAATGTCATTATTAAGCAATAATGTAAAAACTATTAGGTGAAGGTGTTTTAGAAAGGAAATCAAAAGGCTAAAAGATCTATATGTCTAAAACAAGCATGAAAAAAAACATATTATAGGCAAGTTTACATCTTGGGTAAGCTATACATAGCTAAAAATAGACATAAGTTTTTCTGATCTGATACACAGAATTCAATAAAATCTACATTATCAAATAGTACAATTTCCTAAAGCACCTAGTAAGCAAAACTAAAAACAGAACTTTCCCTAGTTCAACATAACCTAATGGCAACAGTACATTGCTTAAACAAAAGAAAGGGAAGAGCAAAAATCAGATTATCAAGATAAATTTTACCTTATATAAATTTTACTTGCTATTTTTGATAGTACTAAGTAGATGCCATGAGTTTTATTACTAGCAAGTTATTTCCAGTGAATAAAAGCTATTAATTACATAAAAGCTATTTTAATTACATAAAATCTAACTAAATATAACTGAACAATGAAAACAATATTAATGTTTTTTAAACATGCTAACTCCAAATCACTATACTGGAATATTAACAGTGTAGTACCCTTGTACTCTAATTATTACCATATCTAACAAAAAGAATGCTATGAATCAATTATCTTGAAAAACACATTTAAAAAAGAAGAAAAACTGATAAACTGATTTTAACGTGGCTTAGTAGACACTCAAATATTACTGTACTATTCATTTCACAATAAAAGAAACCAAGGAAACTAAAAACCACCTCATTACTTTGGCATACCATATCTAGTATGCTCTTAGGATAAAGTGACAATCTTAATTTTTTTGTTTTCTCTAATAGTTTATTACCAAAACATCTGTGTACATAGTTTTAGAAAAAATTTTAGGAATTCAAATGAGCAGTTAACAGGAGGAATTTCTTTCTTCTAGCGTTCCTTCTTTGATGAAAACTTTCCAAGGTTTCATGTGTTGTTCCAAGAGTGATCCAAAAATTTCAAAAGCCTTATGCCTCATCCTAAATGCAAATATTCCAGTAGAATGAAGACAAAATGTACAGTCTTGCATCAAAATGATTTCTTGTATTAATTCTAGATTCACATAAACGGTTATGAATTATTCTTTGGAAAAAACATTCAGATGAAAGAAAGGTACCTTTTGGTTCCAGCTGTAAATTCAGTAATGCAATTTCAAGAAGCTGGTTCAATACTTTAAAAAACATATAAAAATTAAAACAGGAAAGTTTTTCTTTCAGACCCTAAGTTTTGTGTAATTTTTCTACACAAAAGTGTAGAAGTCAGCAATCTAAGCCCTTAATCACATTGGCTGTCAACAGAGGGAGTAGCTGACTGAGATGATATGCTCCTTACTTCACAGTTCAATTTAATCATAAAGATATGCCACCAGTGTTTAGATAAATGTAGCTTCATCTCTTCATCAGAAATACTTCCCGCCATTTACTAATGAAATCCAGCTTGAAATTGATAACGGTATATCACAGTGTTGAGACAAGAGTCTTGGAAAAAATTTTGTCTTCTGACAAACCAAAGAAGTAAAACGATGCTCATAATAGCCATTTTGATGAATCCAAAGAGAAGAATGAAGAAATTACTACTATAGTGACTATCTTAACCAAATGGAATTGTTGCTTCAGCGTCTAGCATTGTGGAGCTATCATACCTGGCCTCAATGTCTTCACCTATTAACGTTACCTTATTAGGGTTGAGTTTGAGCCAGTTAGACTTCATTCCGGAGGTTTCTGACAGAAAATGAGACATCTGGGGTATTGCTCCTCCTAGATTAGATGAGAAGGAAAGGTATAGCTGGGTGTGGTTTGCTAACTTTGCATCTTGACCTTAGCAGAAGATACAAAGCATGGGACTCATTATCAAGATATCTATTTTGTTGGCTGTTTCTTCTTTTTTTGTCCCAACTATTGGCTTTCAAATATTCACTTTAGCTTTCATAAGCAAAGTTGCTCATGGCAGGGACTCCAATTTTTCCTCTAGGCATCTTCAGGTTGGAATTCTTTAATTTTCAGTTCCAAGAGGGTGCAATGGCAAGGCAGATGATTTGCATGTGACAGCATGCAGCTCAGAGCATGACTTAAGCAAAAGAAAAAAGTCTGACATTGTGTTTGGAGTTGATGTTGCAAACATGGAGAAGACAAATTAATGATTCAGCATTGAAGTACACAGGCCTCTTGTCATGGCTATCTGTATTAAAATTCATTTTGATATTTGTTAGTAAGCCAAAAGCCAAGCCCAAGTCAACACACATATTTTAGGTTCATTCTTCAAAGTTTAAAAAAACAAATATAGTCAAATTCTCATACTAAACGTCAGATGTGTGAAAATTCACTGCCTTGTATATTATTCTCAGTTAAAGCACTTTTTTTTACTACTCAGTGATTTTATAAAGAAATCAAATATATGTAAATGATAACTTCTAGAGGTTAAAAGAATGAATACTGACTGCTACCTTAAACTATGTGAACGAAATTTCCCATATGGATTTTTTTTTTTTTTTCTGTACGGGTGAAGCACCAAAACGTCAGGGACTGTGTCATAACTTTAGCAATCTTCATAATTCAGAGCTGCTTAACAAATAGTTCCTCACCCAATATTAATAACAAGAAATAGTTGGCAATTAATAGTCAGATCTTCCATCTCATCTTTTCCATTTTTTCATGAAACTTCCTCAGGAATTCCTAAAACAGAACTGAAAGATAAGTTCTAAAACTCAATGAATCCTGACAACTTCCATTTCTTTAAAATAAGGTTGCTTTACAACAAAGGCATTCATCAGCAATATTAAATCCTGTGGACCTCAATAAATTGTCTATTTCAAAGGAACACCAATCCTGTTAATATAGTCATCCAAAGAATATAAGGCTGACTTTTCAACTTCAGAGTTTACTGTTTTCGAGTAACTTCTAGTCATAGACATGGTAAGGCACAAACCTATATTTATCAGTGTTAACTACAATTATTATAAGAAATTGACCCTTATGAGTAGTGGCTTCATAATTGTCTTAAATCTGCTTCATTTACATAAACTGAAAAACAATTCCATGAAAATATTACTAGTTAAATCTCCCAACAGTTAATTAAAAAGATAACTCCATAAATAATATTTACCAAACTATTTCTATATCCTGCTTAACACAATATATATTTTAAAACTCAAGCACATCAAACCAATTGCGTAGGAGCCCATAATATCAGAGCAATATGTGATATATGCATGCTGCAAAATCTGATCCATTTTTGTCTAAAACAATTATGCTTTTATTGTTGAAAGCAAACATTATCAAGAGACAAAACTTTTTAATTAACATATTCACACCTTCATTGATCTGGTTCTCTGATGAAATTACGCTTCCTGAGGGCAAGGTGCCAACTGTACTTGAGCCTTCCAATGCCTGCCTCTTTTCAAAACTAAATTCTGGAAGTCTTGGAGCCTGGGGTCTGGTTTTTCTTGCAGGATTCAAGAAAAAACAGTAGGCACAACGAAAAGCTGTAGAGAATTAAAAAAAAAAAATACCATTAACCAAAGAAACTTTAAGGACTAATCAAGTAACCCTCAAGGTTATTTTTACAAAGAACCTTTCTAAAGCCATTTATTCCTTGTGAAATTACACATAGTTTTAATAATATTATGACAGGTGTTCTAACCAAAGTTTATTTTAAAGCATATTTTTAAATTATTATTAGAATTATAATATCAATTTAAAGCAGCAAAGATAATAAGTTACATAGCAGGTTAACTAATAGGAAAACAATAATAATGATCTAAATGTATTACAGAGATTACATTTCTAGTCACCACTAGGTATCTTAAAAGCCAGAACTTTACTCATCTGCCCCCCAAAATGTTGCATGTTATATTTGAGAAGCATGATTAATTTAGTTCAATATTTTTAAACAGTAGCTGCACATGAAAATATTCTGAAGAGCTTTAAAAAAATGCTGATGCCTGGGCCCCACCTCAGATCAACTAAAACAGATTATTTGTAGGTGGAATCTGGGCATCACAATGTTTAAAAGCTCTCCAGGTTAATTCTGATGCACAGTGAAATTTTAAGAATAGCTAGCCTAGAAGTTGTACACTGTATGAAGAAAAAACCTGAGCTGTCTTTTCTACTTTGCTTTGTGTTCTATAATACGCCTGAACACCACATACAGAGCGATACCTAAAACAAAATGGCATTACATGGGAATTGGCACAGAATGAAATATTTAAGAGTAAAATATTTAAAATCTAACTGCCAAATAATTCTTACCAATGTACTCAAATTCTTCTTTCAAAGCCATGCCATTGTGAGAAAAACACTGCTGACATATAAGGGCATACCTACAGCGAAAGGAAAAATGAACAGATCAGTTACAAATGAGACAAAACAAGCAGGAGAAGCTACTTTAGCCATCACAGCTAAAGTACACAGTTAGATTACATAGCATTTAATGTAGCTAGATGTGCCATAACAGATATTACTTTGTAAACAATAAACAACACTCTTTATGATAACAGTCAAAATTTCAATTACTTTAAAATATTATATATTAAATTAAAAATAAACTAAGAAACAAATAGAATTTTCTTACTAAGTAAGCAGAAATGTATTTGATAACAGAACACTTAAATTTTAATGTTTCCTAACATATATTCCTGGGGATGATAGACCCCAATCTGTGGTCAGATAAAGAGTAGAAAAGATGAAGCCTCTTAGAGATTCACAGATGAGTATTATTAAAACCTCTGTGAAGTCTTGTAGTAAAGAAATTAATTTAATTTTGTTTAGTCCAGTCCAAAGGTTAATTTCTGTGTATCATGATTTCTTAGCTATCCCAGTTACACTTAAACATCTTCCACATTTTCTATTTATATACCCTTTCTGTTCTCCAAGTAAGTACTTAATAAATACCTGGCCCTAACAAACAACATTCTATCTGTTTGAAGAACATATAATTTTTCACATTAACATTAAATTCTAGTCTCTTTATTAACACCCAGAGGGATGGGATGGGAGGGAGGCGGGAGCGGGGATCAGGATGGGGAACACATGTAAATCCATGGCTGATTCATGTCAATGTATGGCAAAAACCACTACAATATTGAAAAGTAATTAGCCTCCAACTAATAAAAATAAATGAAAAAAAAAAGAATAATATTAACCAATAACCTTGTCAAACATCTATTCTTAAAATACCTTAAGAATTATTTAAAAGTCTATACTATGATGATTGCTCTGCTCATATCATACTTATAATCCTAGAGTTATTATAAGGATCAATTAAAATAAGTGGAGAAGCATTTTGGAACTGTAAGTGTCAAATACATGAAACTGTCCTCACTGTTATTAAAATTACCAGCATCATTAAGTCCAGTACTCACATCTATAAAACTCCATTTCTTATAACCTACCAACTTTTCACTATTTAAAAACTCTTCAACTTCAAAAGAAGCAACAAAATGATTCAAATTCTCTAAAAATAATGTTATAGCAGGGTTATAACATAGCAGTTACAATATTGTTTTGTTATATATAATACATTTTAAAATATTTTATCCAAATACTTTATCTAATCTACTACTGAAAAATAACTGAGTATGTACTCTTTTGCAGGGCCATAAAATACTCCATTATGTTCTAAAGTCAGGAGACAAGAACCACAAAATCACAGAACATTTAGTGCATGTGCACATGTGCGTACACACACACACACCCCCACTCTGACCAATAAACTTTCTTCATTTTCATTTAGCTACACCCTAGTAAACATTACCTGTTCTGTGGACCATCACCAACTAAATATTCAACAATTCTATCCAGAGCACCTCGTTCTCGAGGCAGAATGGGTCTTGCTAAAGGTGGACCAGGAGGATGAAGACCTAGTAAATAAATATACACAAAATTTATATGTGTAAAATACATTTAAACTTCAATTCAGTTGCCAAGAACTACCTATGCTCATTTAAATGATTTTAACAAAACAAAAATTATATTATCATCTCTGTATTCAAATTTTCATTAAAAATACTACACTACGAAACTATATTTATATATGTGCTATATTAGAACCAGCAACATAATCTATTAAGAAATAAAACTATGTTGAGTTCTGTACAAATTAATTTTTTAAATGCTCAGACTCTTAAAAGTTTATGTAATAATAAACTAGGAGACTTACACTTTGTACCATAATACATTAATCAGAGTCAGATTTAATCTCCCACTTAAAACAACTAAAATACCATGTAAAATATATTATGCAATGGTTTTAGAGACATTGGATATCAAGTAATGTAGGATAAAGATCCCTGAGACACATAAAGCAAATAAGATGAGCCCTACCACTGCCCCAACTTATTGCCTGGAGAGTTTTCCAGATAGCAACTCAGGCAGAGTAAATCCAGGTGAAGTTCATTATTCTCCCTGAGTTGAAGAGAGAAAGCTGGAACGCTGGAGAGGACAAGGCAGGCTGAGTTCACCGGGAACAGTACCAGAGAGGAGGGAATGCAGAAAGCCAGAACACCAAAGATATGCCCAGGATGCAAATGAGAAAAACCACCTGAGGACAGAGAAAGAACTGCCCCCAAAATACTAAAGGTACCAGTGCTCACATGGGGCCAAAAATATCACATGTTCCCACCAGCCAGGATGGAAAACTTCATAACTCACAGGTCACTGGGTAAATATTCAGAGAGGCCCTGTACAGTAATTTAAAAATATCCTGTACCCAATACAGCAAAATTTACAATGTCTGACATCAGATAAAAAATTAATAGTCATGCAAATTGGCAAGAAAATAAAACTCATAATGAGAAGAATCAATCAAAAGTGACCCAGAAATGATGGAGATGATAGCATTAAGAGACAAACATATTAAAACACTTATTATGACTATATTCCATATGCTTGAGAATCTAGGTGAAAACTGTAATATGTTAAGCTGAGACATGAAAAAAATGCATAAAAGATCTAAACTGAACCTCTACAGATGAAACCTACAATGTCTTAGATTTAAAAATTCACAGATGAAATGAACAGCAGTTTTAACATTACAAAAAAATTAGTAAATCTGAAGACAGCAATAGAAGCCATGCAAAATGAAACACAAAGACTAAAAAGATTTTTAAATGAACAAATCTTCAGTGAGCTGTGTAACAACCTCAAGCATCTAGTATACACATAATTGGAGTTCAGAAGAAGAGAGGAAGAAAAATTGACTCAAAGAAATAACGCACAAAAATTTTCAAAACCTGATGAAAACTGTAAACATACAGACCCAAGAATATCAACAAACCCTAAGTACAAGAAACAATTTCGCACCAAGATACAGCATAATCAACTTTCTTAAAACCAGTGACAGAAAATCTTAAAAGCAGTGAGAAAAAGATACATTAGTAAAGAGAAACAAAGATAAGAATGACAGATTACTCATCAGAAAATAAGCAAGCCAGAAGACAATGAAACAGTATCTTTAAAGTTCTGAAAGAAAAACTATCAAATTAGTGAAACTATCTGTATTAGTGAAGACATCTTTTAAAAATGAAGGCAAAATGAAGACTTTTTTCAGACATACAAAACTGAAAGAATTCATAACTAACAGAACTGTACTATAAGAAATGTTAAAAGAAATCCTTCACACAGAAGGAAACTGACACCAGACAGAAAGCTGGATCACACAAAAGAAAGAGTACTTGAAATGGTTACCATGTGGGTAAATATATAAAACATTATTTATATTGCTTTAAAAAACAATTGATGGCTTAAAGAAAAAGTAATACAGGTTTCCCTTGCTATCCATAAGTTCCCATGAAAGCTTTCGTTAAGCCAAAATGGCATAAAGTGTAGAAGCAATTACCTTAGGACACATCTTGCTAACGGATGCACAAAATAAATTGAGACAAAGCACAGATGCTCACAGACAAAGTTCAAAGCTATGGCGGCTTGATGATGAGATGCTGAGTGTAGTTCCCAGGGAAGGAGCTTGGTGGTGCCACTCTTGCTGCTCAGGATGCACGCTGCCTCTACAACGGCTCGCTGCAAAACAAATGCTGAACGCTATTTTCGCTTTTCGTCTTTTTTTGTAAAAGCGAAAACCTTCTTCCGATTCTTTCAATTAGTGGAAACAGGCACTAATGTAGGTCTTTCATAAAAGCAAAGTGGTGTAAAGTGAACTTTCAAAATGTGGAGGATATCTGTAATTCCTTGTGGGGTTTATAACACATGTATAAGTAAAATGTATGACAACAATACCACAAAGGCCAAGGGGAGAGAAACATTAATACTGTAATTTGATTCTTAATCTGTATGAGAACTGGTGTCATACCATTTGACATGAGCTATGATAAATTAATGATACATACTGCAAACTCTAAAGTACCCACTAAAACAAAAAAGCACTAAAGCTAATAAGGCAACAACAAAAAAATTATTAAAAGCAATCACAAAAGATACTCAACCCACAAGAGGCAGAAAACAAGAAAGGTAGCAGAACAGATGGAACAAATAGAAAGCTAGCACCATAAAAGATTTAAACTCAAACCTAAACATGCCAATCATTACATTAAATATAAGTGGCCTGAGCATCCTCACTATAAGGCAAAGATTGTCAGAATGGATAAAAAAGCAAGACCCAACAGATGCTGCTTACAAAAGATCCATTTTAAATATAAAAACACAGACAGACTAAATGTAAATGATAGGGAAAACTACATAAATATGCTGACACTTATCAAAAGAAACCAAGAGCACCTGTATTAATAGCAATCAAAGTAGATTCTGGAGCAAAGAATATAAACAGGGATAAAAATGCAATTTCATAATGACAAGAAGCCAATTCATCAAGAGGACATAATAATCCTAAACCTATGATGTATGTGCATTATAATAGAGTTTTCAAAACCCATTATGCAAAAACCAGAAGTAATACAAAAAGAAATAAGTACACAATTATAGCTGGAGATATCAACAGCATTCTCTCAAGCACTAACAGAATAAACAGCAAAAAATCATTAATGACACATAATACTATCTACTTAACCAACTTGATGCAATCAACATTTACAGCCATTCTACCCAACAGGAACAAAACATATATTCTTTCCAAATGAACGTAAAGCTATACCAAGATAAATGATAGTATGAAACATAAAACAAATCTCAATACATTCACGAAGATTCAATATTACAAAGTATGTTTTCTGACCACAACAGAATTAAACTAGAAATCAGCAACAAAAAGACATCAGGAAAATATCCAAATATTTGAAGACTCAATAATATATAACTAAATAATCCAAGCTTTAAAGAAAAATAAATTAGAAAGTATTTTTAACTGAAAGAACAAAAAGACAAATCAAATTTATGATATGCAACTAAAACAATACTTAGAGGAAAATTTATAACACTAAACACCTATACTGCTAAACACCTACAAAAGAAGATAGATCTAAAATCCATAAATTCAGTTTCTACATTAAGAACCTAAAAGGAAAGATCAAATGAAACCCAAAGTAAACAGAATAAATGAAATAATAAAGATCAGAATGGAAATTAATAAAAATATACTGTAATAATAGAGAAAAGCTAGTTCTTTGAGAAGACCAAACTGATAAAGACAAAACTGATAAAGCTCTAGTCAGACTAATCAGGATAAAAAGGAAAGATACAAAATATTAACAATGAGAGGAATGACATAAATCCAGATAGTAAAGATATTAAAAGAATAATGAGGGTATATTATGAATAACTTTATGCCAATAAATTCTGTAAGTTAGGAGAAATAAATTCCTCAAAAGACTACCAAACTACCACAACTTCCTCAACAAGAAACAGAAACTTCAACTTGCTAAGAATTTTTGCATCTATATTTATAGGGATATTAGTCTGTAGTTTTCTTTTTTTAAAACAAGTTGAATGTTTTTTAAAAAAGAAAAAACCTTCCACAAAGAAAACACCAGGCCTAGCCACTTCAACCTGTAACATTTAAATTTATTACTAAGAAATAATACCAATTCTATACAAACTTGTCCATAAAACTAAAGACAAGAAACTGCTTTCTCATACTGAGGCCAGCAATACTCTTATACCAAAACCAGACCAAAAAACTTACAAGAAAACAAATAAACAAAGAAAACAGACAAAACAAAATTACAAGAAAAAAACCAAAAAGCAAAAACAAAACAGACTAGTATCTCTAAGGAAAACTGATGTACACATTTCTAACAAAATTTTAACAAACTGAACCCAATAATATATATAAAAAATAAAACATCATGACCAAGTCAAATTTACCTCACAAAAGCATGGTGGTTTAATGTCTAAAAAAAGTCAATGTTAAAAAAAAAAAAAAAATCAATCAATGTATTTCACCATATGAAACAGTGATATAAAAAAAAAAAAACTAAACTAAACTAAAACCCTGTAAGAGCATCTCAATAGATGTAAAAAAAGGATTCGAAAAAATCCATCATCTGTTACTGATAAAAACCTTCAGCTAACTAGGAATGGAAGGGTACTTCTCCTCAATCTGATAGAGGCTATCTATTTAAAGAAGAAGAAGAAAAAAAACCCCTATAGTTTACACTGAGTTGAATGGTAAAAATGTAAATGCTTTCCTCCTAAGATCAGCAATAAGACAATGATGTCTGCTCTCACCATTTCTATTTAACACTGCACTGAAAATTCTAGCTAGTGTAATAAGACAAGAAAAAGAAATGAAAGGAATCTAGATTTAAAAGGAAGAAGTAGAACTGTATTTAGTCACCAACAATCTGACAGCCTGTTTAGGATATATTATGGAATCTATATAAAAGTTATAAGAACCAGTGACTTTAGCAATATTACAGGATGTAAGATCACTATACAAAAATCAATTTCTATGTATGTTACCAATGAACAATGGAAACAGGTAATAAAGTATTTAAACTAGGATAAAAACATGAAATAATAAGACATACATTTAATCAAAAAAGTAAAAAGCTATGAACACTGCAAAACATTGCTAAGAGAAACTAGAGAAGATCTAAATAAATGGAGAGATACACTGTATTCCTATAATAAATTAGCCAGTATCAGAGATGATGAATGGAGAGTCAGGAGTAGAAGAATAACTTGGAATTTAGTTAATGATTACCTCATATAAAAACAGTAACAAAAATAAAGTTACACCTTCAAAATTATGAACTGTAACTCCACAATCTCTGAAAACTGAAAGAGGCCTGTTTGCAGGAGATATTCTAAAATGGGAGACCACACAGAAGGCACTGGGAAGAAAGCAAGAGGATAAAATAAACGAGATGTGACACTGGCCTTCATAAAACAAGGCCAGATAAGAGGAAGACAGGCAGCAAGGGACGTTTACATGGAGACCTTGTAGAAGACTTTCAGACAAAATGAGGTCTTGTTAAAACAAGCCCTGCAATACATAGATTAAAGGTCTTCAAAATGTGACAAAACCTTTAAAACATTAAAAAATTGCTTTAAGGCAGCAATATAATATTAATATTCTAAAAGATAAGAGATTTGCTTTGTAAATAGTCACAAATCTTAAGGCTGTTACCATCTTAAAAATGGGAAAATGATATAGAATTATAGCTAGTAAACAAAATTAGGTTCTAAAATAAGTTTTCAGTATTAGGAATCAAGTGCATTTTTCACATTTCATTGGCTATTGGCATTTCTTTGGCTAATGTTAAGTAGAGTCATACTTAACATTCAATCATTAGCATCAAAAAATAAACTTGAATGCAGACATTAAATGTCATTCCTCGTTATGAAATTTTCAACTTAAACAACCATGCCAAATTAAATTTTGAAAGCATTTAAGCCAGCTTAACTTTTGCTGGAGTATTTTACGTCTACATGCTTAAAATGAAAATGTCCATAAAGGAATCTGGATAAATAAAACAACAGATTTCATAAAAACATTTTAACTCCCTTGCATATTAATAACTTTTAAAATAACACATCTTTGTATTCATGCTGTTATGGGTAACAGTAATTAATACAAACATCAAGAGCAATCATTGTAGGAATATTGGTCATTTTTGCACAGCTTGGCAAATTATCAAGTACCTGCTGGTTAATAATTTTCAAACATATGGGAGCCCTGTGGTAATACACATTAAATTGATTCTCTTTCACAAATATGGCATAATGAAAAAATGAATTATTAATCTTCTCTATAAGAAATCACTTAGCTCACTCGCATTTTTGGCAATGTACAACTTAAATACAAAGTCTTTTACACAGAAACTAATTAAAAACTTTAGTAAAATATATTATGTTTATATGATCATGAAATGGTAGGTTATTGAAACCTTGTTCTTACATGTGCTATTATATAGTTCTTATTACTCTGTATAAGTTGATAAACTCTAATTTCTTTACAAATAGTTAGATACACAAAATGCATTCTCACAAAATAGTTCTTCCATTAAACAACTAAGAGCTTTACTTTACAAGTCATTGGTATCTCAAATCAACCAGTAACAACTGAAAGATGAAAAATTTTCAACCAGTTTAATTTACTCAATTTCACAAAATATACAGTTGCCTTGAGTGACATCATCATATGTTAAGTTTAAAAGTATTTTTCAATAACCAACAATTAAAAGTTATGATTTGTATTCATTTCATTTGTAGTTAGCTTTATTATTTATAAATAAAGTTTTTTAGTTTTCTAAAATCTTACACTGTTTTTGAAGAAAAAGGAGGGGGAAAAAATCTACTGTATTAGTAACATTTAGATTGCTTACTGATTTTATTAAGACTATGTAAATGCCCTGAATATCTGATATCAACTTCTGATGAGGCTCAAAGTCATAAATTATATGTAATTAGTCATGAAATATGAAATTAATCTAAATTAAAATTAAATATCCTAAAATAAAATAAATAATTTATTATCATATTTAAGAATCTGACATGAGACTCTACATACAATAATGTGATCTGCTGAAGAAGAAGGCTTTTATGTCCCAATCACACTCCAAAAGAAAGTTCCAGGGTAATATAATCTACTACACTCCTAAAATGGGATCTTCCCCTAGAGTTCTACAAAACTGAAAAAGGAGAATCCAAAGAGATGAAATAATAGTAAAGGCAGTATGTTAATTCAATAGGACTTTATGTTAAAGTATCTGTCAGAAAATATTGAGGCTCTATAGCTTAAAAAAAGAAAAATCTACCAAGTTCACATTAACATTAGTAGTATTACACACTACAGCACATGAATATTCTTCCTGAAATGTTAATCTGTCAAGTTTAAAAATATATATGAAGGGTTTAGCAAAAAGCATGAATACATTCCCAAAATGTTCTCTTCTATCCTCATTTTATATAAATCTGGAGCCATTCTAAAGCCGAATATAAAAAGATATGCTATACTGTTGACTACAGAATACTACAAAGTTTTACTGCCATTTAAACAAAGAAGCCATAACAGTTAAATGAGCTCAAGAAATAGGTTTCAGTATCACAAGGTGCCAGCTGTAAAGAGTTATAGCTAATTGAATATGGAACTCCTGCTTAATCAGATAACTGCTCTGCTATTTCCAAATGAAATGCCATTTCCATACTGTCTGAAAATGGCCTGTTTTATTGGTAACCAGAGAAAACAATATAAACTGTAAATAACATTAAGTGCTCTGTTTACCCATTCCAGGCACTGAAGTAGCAGGGGATCCAAAACGTCTTGGTAACACATTTGATGATAAGGCTGGAGTAACAGTTCTTTCTGGGGGTCCACCAGGGGCTGAAGTGTCCTTTGGTGGTCCAGGAGAAACTGGAATTTGTGGAGGAGGGCCCTGGCTGGAGCCTGCTGGTGTTGGAGAAAGGTTTCTTTGAGCGGCAGTTCGCTGACGAATCTCTGAAAATAAGAATAAAAAGTATATATTAGGTTTAACATTTAGCGTACCACCATCAGTCAATATCACAAATGACTTACATTCAATAAAGCTTTGCAGCATTAGAAATCATCTACAAGATTAAACTGCTTGTAAATAAAAAATCTGTACAATGTAACACTGAAAACTGACTACAGAGTACTCCACTACATGTATATATTTACATAAGTCTTGATCTAAGTCTACCTACTGACACTATTTTTCAAAATAAATTCAAATAAAATAGAATCATCACCCAATTATGCATTATATCTTTTTATAATAAATCCCTCCCAAGTTATGATAAAGAAAGTTTATCAGAATCAGAGAAAACACCAGTGAAAACTGCAGAATTGTTTTTTCAAGATAAAAAATGGTAATGCTAAGAAATGAGCAAATAAGTATATCTGGAATTGTCATGTAATTTATGAAGTAATTAATCTAAGTAGTCATAGACATGCTGAAGAAAGGTACCATTCCTATTGTCCTTTATTCTACTATCTTTTGGGATAGATTTTTTTTGTCAATACATTCAACAGAGGAAAACTTCTACTCTGCACAAATAATACATTAGAATAACAAATTTTATCTTTTTGTTGCAGAAATTACAAGAAGTTGGTAAATGAGTCAAATCCAGGCTGCCGCCTCTTTTTGTAGTTTTTCACTGAAACAGAATAACACAGTTCTTTACATACTGTCTATGGCTGTTTTAGAAAAGTTTGAATAAATACAAGAGACCACATGGCTCTCAAAGTCATTCACTATATTTACTATCTATTCCTTTACAGAAAGTTTCATGATCCCCCTCTGCACTCAGTAACATAAAATTCAATTCTATCATTCCCCATTCTCACCAATATCTTACTTGAATGTTGACGGTATGATCTCAAATAAAGATGCACTTCTAACTTCGTAATTCTACATATCACTTTAAATTATTACAAATCCTGAAATGGTAAGCTAAAACTAAAGAAGTTATTAATAAATTTTAATTGGCATGATTGGTAAAAAATGCAGTTTCAGAAGCAAAATACTTTAGATTTGGACTCATTTGACAGTTAAAGATTTTCATAAAAAGCTCATTGCAATCGAAAGTACAACTTGAACACCAGATTTCAGTTTACTATAACCTTGTCAACTATTAAGAACCTGGGTCCTGCGGTCAAAAAGGTTTGGTTAGAATCCCAGCTACAGCTCCATGACTCCAGATGGGTTAACTTTGTTAAGCCTCTATTTATTTGCAAAATTAGGATAATAATATCCTAACTCAGAATTGTTATGAGAATTAAATAAGATAATGTTTTTAAGTTGACAGCTCACATTTATTGAATACAAATTTCAGATGACAGTGCTTTCATACAATTAAGTATTTTCAAATCACCATTTAGCTGTAATTACCGGGACCAACAAACTTTCCATTGGTTCTTAATTTAGTCTCTAACCCAGCCCCTGCAATAATAAATTACAAGCATGTCATCATTATATAAATGGAAATGTCCTTATATTTGGCTATTTTCCTTACAGTTTACAGAAAATTTTGAATTTTACCTAATTATTTCCTAATTAATTCTAGCAAATTAACTGGTCACTTAATTATCTTTTATTCACAAGGAACTTCTTAAAAGATGGTTACACATTAGGAAAGCCATTAAATTCTACAAATGGTACTGAGATCAGTGAAATCATATAAGGATCTGATTACTGGAATTAATTTAAAATACAAGGCATCAACATTTTTTCTTCCATTTACTTTTATTAGTTGGGGGCTAATTACTTTACAATATTGTAGTGGTTTTTGTCATACATTGACATGAATCAGCCATGGATTTACATGTATTCCCCAATCCAATCCTCCCTCCCACCTCCCTCTCTACCCGATCCCTCTGGGTCTTCCCAGTGCACCAGGCCCGAGCACTTGTCTCATGCATCCAACCTGGGCTGGCGATCTCTTTCACCCTAAATAATATACATGTTTCAATGCTGTTCTCTCGAAACATCCCACCCTCGCCTTCTCCCACAGAGTCCAAAAGTCTGTTCTGTATATCTGTGTCTCTTTTTCTGTTTTGCATATAGGGTTATCGTTATCATCTTTCTAAATTCTATATATATGTGTTAGCATACTGTATTGGTCTTTATCTTTAGATTTTTAGGTAAAACGTAACTCCAAAATGGGCTTCCCTAGTGGCTCAGTTGGTAAAGAATCTGCCTGCAATGCAAGAGACCCAGGTTCCATCCCTGGGTCAGGAAAATTCCCTGGAGAAGGGTATCCTTGCCTGGAGAATTCCATGGACAGAGGAGCTAGGCAAGATACAGTCCATGGCATCACAAAGAGTAGGACACGACTATGTGACTTTCACTTCACTTTCAACTCAAAAATGGTATTTTTCTTCCAGATAAATGCTTAACATTTATTATACTATCTTAAAAGTCTTTAACTTCTTGAACAAAGACTTGAGACTGCTTCCTCTGAGTGTGCGTTTACCCAGTGAAAATTAACTAAAGCACACTTTTAACGTTGCTCATATGCTACTGAAAGGTAAGGTCTATAACTAAAAGGACACCATATCCAGCATTCCATAAAAGAGATTTGGCTACATATTATTTCTAAATCCAAAATTAGGCAGACAAAAGTGAAAACTGATATAAAAGAGTCAGGAAAGGGAGAAAACATAGTTTCAGTATTTACAAAGGAAAAGAAGGTAACAAAGAGTTACAATGATTATGGTTGAAAACAGCTAGCAATACAATACCAAATCTATAGTTGGTAAAGTACTATAGAATATTCTGGTAGTCTCAGTGAAAAATAGCTAAGATTTATCTACTTTTAGCTATGTGCCATTTACAAATGCTTTGTATTACTAAATCTCTCAAAAAGTTTCTTGCATTCAACAAAATAGTCATATTGGACATATTGAACATTTCCCACAATCTAACATAAAATACCATCCCCTAACAACATTTACCAAGCACTCTCCATAAGTCTCGTTAGGTACAAGACTATCCCATAAAGTTACCTCTTGACTAGAGGATATCCTTATCAATGACCAATCAATAATTCAATAAAAAAATCACACTAAGTATGAGGACATTTGCTTCAGCCATGTCCGACTCTCTGAGACCCTATGGACTGTAGCCTGCTAGGCCCCACTGTCCATAGGATTCTCCAGGCAAGAATATTGGAGTGGGTTGCCATGCCCTCCTCCAGGGGATCTCCCTGAACCAGGGATTGAACCAGCATCTCTTAATGTTTTCTGCACTAGCAGGCAGGTTCTTTACCACTAGCACCACTTAGGAAGCCCAATTTTAAATTCAAAATGAATCAAATAGAATCAAAATGAGATTGAAAACTACTATTTTATGATAAACAAAAGGAAGAAAACAAAGTTTAAAGTAATGAAACAGAATAGTTATTAAAAACATAAATTCTGGAATCAAATTGTCTGGATTTAAATTTTATCTCTACCCTGTTTATTAGATGTGCAAGAAGGCTTTTCCAAGTTGATGACATCTCTCAGTTCAGTTTCCTCATAATGAGAATACTTACCTCTTACGGTTGTTATAAAGAATAAATGAGATAATCAACACAAAGAGCTTAGCCAGAGCACAAGAAAAGTAGTTAATAACTAATAACTATTAGAAGTGGTATACATCTAAAGGTTCCAACTTGTACAATAAATCTAAAGCTAAGCAATCTAGAAGTTCTAAAGTAATTATTAAAACAAAATATAGATATTAATTTGCAAATTAAATGTTTTCCTAGTTATTTGTGAACTTGTTTAAATGCATTATATAAAACTTAAATCTATTACTCTAGCTTGCTATTAAATACTTCTTGAGATGAATGTTCTATAATACCAATAATTATCCCTTAATTTATCAGATTCTTAAATAATGATTCCTTATACACACAGGTAGAAGGTTTTGTCTTTGTTTTGGTATTAAGCTGTAGTAGCAAAAACATCATACAATAGTTAGGAGGCCTATATTTTCATCCTAGCTGATACCACCACTTCCTTATGTGAACTAAAAGTCTTTTATCCACTCTGGGTTTCAAATTTCTTTAAAAGAGTGTTGGCAGAACTACAAAGACAATCCTCATATTTTCCCTAATACTGGTTAAAGGCTTTCTGAACTATCGTGTTCAGTTCCTAGCGTCATACGAAGAAATTTCAATGACTAGGATTTTAGCAACGAACAGAAAGAGGTCTTTAAGTCTATGAACGATTAGCATAGGCAGATGTGGACACTTAAATTTAGGGGAATTTGGTTCTTTATAAATGTGATCATGACATGCAGTTAGGTGGAACATGGAGATATATTTTCAGGAGAGTTTCTGTTTTTGAATTTATATAAATTCAGGTCTCTCTTGTTTCAATTTATATGATTCCTTTAAATAAAATAATAAAGATCATGCATCTGATATCTCCTCCTTTTATTTTCTAAATGATCTAAAGTCTACATTCACTGTATCATCTTCTTCACATCCTACTCATACTAAGCTCCTTTAAATTCAGCTTCTGCCCTGCTTTTCTATCTGATTTGTTTTCTCAAATAGGTCAATGGCCTTTTATTAACAAAAATGACTCCATAACCTTTCTCTTCCCATAGAGGCAAAGCTTTAAGGGAAAAAAGAAAAGAAAGAAGAAAAACTTTCCCAATAGTTCATTCTTCAACCTAATGCAATATGGTTTTTGTCCTCCTCCTTAGCAACCAAAGTATCACCTACCACTCAAAGTAATATTGCTTTGGTTACCAACTTATAACATCATCATTATTGTTATTACATATGGTGGCAATGGTTTAGTCACTAAGTCGTGTCCAACTCTTGTGATCCCATTGACTACAGATTACCAGGCTCCTCTGTCCATGGGATTTTCGTTATTATATATACATTTTATCAAATCCCTACTATTTGCTAGGAACTATATGAGGTATTTTGTTTGTGTTTACTAATTTCATACAGTACTCAGACCAACTTTTTGTG